AAATTTGGATAGGGGGTGCAACAGAATCATGCATCCTCGTTCAATATGGCGTCTTCGTTCGACAACCACGCATGCTATACTAAAGGGTTTGGTCAGCGGTTTTCTTTTTAGTGCTACCTGATTGGTCAAAACTAAAAGAATATGCGAGCAAGCCATGTTTTTAAGGTGCTGACACACGGTGCACAATGCATGCAACATTGCAAGCAGCAGGACTGCTGCAGCGTGTGTACTCCAAACTTGTCGTACGCAACGTTGCATGCAACAAACCTGAAGTTGAATCGCGCTCTGACTCTAGCAACATTGCGCACAACAAATTTCACCATGTGAACACGGGTTGCAACATTAACTGCAATATTTTGAAATTTTCAGCCAATCAGTTTGCACCAAATTCATAACTGCTGTCCAAATATATTAACATAGCAGGCTGACACAAGCGATGTTGCATGATTTTGTTGCAATGTGTGTCACCCCGATTCAAATTTGATGCTTGCAATGTTGCACCATGTGTCAGCACCTTTACACGATGACTTTTTTTGCGCACGATGTTGCAGAAGTAGAACATGGCTGGAGGACAAATGCTGCAACAATCCCTAGTTGGGTGCAGTGTTCCCTGTGTTTTCGCCATTAATGGAAAAAAAAAAAAAGAAAATTGAAAAGTATAAAGAAAAAAATAGAATCGAGAAAAAAGTCGACAAGACTTGAAAGTGATGTAAGAAAATTACTGGAACATTTTGGATTTAAACAAAGATTGTTACAAATACCCGCAACGGGAAACAAAAGAATGAATAGAAGAAAGATATAAAGGGAAAAATGAAACTAATAGAGTGATTTTATGATTTCAAGGGGGGTGACTGTTACCCAGAAAGGCATCACATAGAATCCTTTTTAGGTCTAAACTTATCCTTTGCTTCTTTTTCAACTCCACTAAAAAAAAGTTGACAAGGCTTGAAAGTGATGTAAGAAAATTACTGGAACATTTTCACAAATAGTAAACATAATACAAAGTAGACACTAATTCTATGGTTTTCTCAATTCGTTTAAATTACTTCCAGAAAAATCAAGAAATGCTAAAGATTTGAAACATAACTTTTCTGTTTAAGACTGCTTTAAGATGAATTCGTTAATTTTATTGTATATGCAACCTCGAGCAAATTAAATGATGCATACCATCAAAATATTCAATGTCTATTTACATGCTTTGCTAATAATTATATTTTATGTTGGAAATGAAAAATAAATCAATAAGACCTGACACAACATCTACACTGATCTAAGTCAGGTGGCTGATTCACAGGTCAAAAGTCAAGAAAATGACCTTGGAGTTGTGAAATTTAAATTTTTATTTTTCCAAAATTAATACCTGAAACTCAAGCAATTTCCATTCAACTCTTTAATACATTAAATCATGATTGTGCATCCTCCAAGATAAAAGCTTGGATGTTTACAGTTTTGCTCAAATTTACAGTCCTGCTCATTTCTTTTAATATAACCTTTTTCTTTATATTATAATATTTTGGAAGTTATGATTCATATTTGTATTGCTCTCAATTTATTTCTTAATAGAAAAAGTACGTCACCATAATTTCTTTTGCAAACTGAAAAAAATACTCATTTTTCATGTTTTCTCAACCCACGCAACCTTTGGCAACTATTTTTTTTGTGTCTAAGCCGACTAAAATAGAAATTCTACATTTGACGTCTAAATGTTGTCATGATTAAACAAACATGAAAAAAGATGTCTGCTTTAGAAATCAAAGCAAGCTTGTTCGTTACTGTAGCTGTTGAGCTGATCAGTGGTTGTAGTTAAATCCAAATACCCAAGATCAGAAATCTCTGCTTTGTGCTCATCCTCAATCTTTGAAATAATGTCAATTGGAATAACCTCATAATCATCCAGAATAAAATCTACTTGATCATGCTGGGAGCCATGCCAGCTTGCACTTAGAGGACGAAAATCAATATCTTCTTCCTCGTCAGTTGTGGTTGTGAGTTCACTTCCACTACATGGAAAACTTTCATCCATGCTGCCAGGAATGGTTGGTAAAGTTAATCTCCCTCCAGGAAGAGCTCCTGCATTAAGAGTGCTGCTGCGCTGACGTACATCTGGAACAAATTTGATCAAATATATGAGAATTCAAATTTTTTGGGGATAGGGGATAAAAATCTATTTATTAGAACTATTTTGAAAGAGCAGTCAGTCCAAGTCACATGTCTTGGCCCATGTCAATAGCATGTACGGGATGGTCATCTTGACAAATTCGAGTTTGGTGGAGTCAAATCAAGACATTTTCAAGAAATTCAATAATAGACCCTAATGAAAAAAAGGGGGCCCATAATTGAGATACCTTTAGTTAGTTCATCAATTATATAAGTCAACATTGCATGCTTCCATTAGAAAGAGTATATTGAAATTAGTGATCTTCCGAAATTTCAGTGTAGTAACATTATCAATAATAAAAAGCTACAGCTGTTTGAAATTAGAAAGGATTGTATGGAAACATTAACCAAGGCCCTACCAGTTTCTTTTTCATGAACTCTGAGAACTCTCAGAAATTACTAATTTAGACATGGCCTTTCTTGTAATGAAAATATATATTTAAAAAGACATATTTTATAGTTTGTGGTGCTTGTTTCCAATTTTATGCTCTTTTTTCATATCGTCAATACACAAGTACCCTTAAATTGAAACCTATATTTTCCAATAATGACATGAAAATACTTTGCTTGATTAATATTCACCAAAACCTTATTTTGGTTTTGTATTCTTCCATGAGTGCTATTCAGAGCGACCATAACAGTCGTTAAAGGAAGGATATACAAACCTTTTTCATCAAAATCAGTTTCATCTCGATACCCAAAGGGTAGATTATAGTATCCATCACCATATCGAGAAGACCAACCACGCCCTCCAGCATGCTGCCTCAAATTTCTAATAACAAATAGAATAAGAATCCATTTTAGATTAAGATCTAGAAGACTGTTCACTTATATTGCTACAGATGAACCCCTTTATTGATAACACCCCAAAATGAATGCAAAAGATTAACTTTTTAGTATTTCTAGAAAATATTGCCCCAAGACCCTCATACAATCTTTCATCTTGCTTGGCCCCCCAATTCAAGATTCTAGATCCACCCCTGGGCTTCTTCTGTGCTAATGACATTGAGAAGAAGAGTTAGACGTGAGCTGGTTTTTTCCACTTTTCCCTCAAGACTTTGTAAAGACAAGTCTTTACTGAGTCTAGAGGGACAAGTGGGACTCGCAGTCTATACTTGAGTTGGCTTTATTCCTAGCCTGCGTACAACCATCCTTTAGTAAAATTGTTTTTCCCCCAAAGGCTACCAGTTTAAGAGTGACTGTACACAAGCTACTGTCAATCTCCTCGATCTTCTGTCACAATACTGGAAGGGTAAGAAATGTTGAACAACTAAATAACAAGTTTTCAATGGAATTTTCTTGCTAACACATGGTGGTCATTGTTTGACTACCATTTTGAACAGAAAATGAGATACAAAGACTTTTATCAGCCATAATTGAAACCAAACAATAATTGCATCATTATCTCTTCTTATCTCATGCATGAGATCAATAATTATTATTGATCTCATGCATGAGATAAGAAGAGATATGAAAATCATACTCTTTAGGACTTTTTTAAATTCAAATCATTCAGATTATAAGGTTTATGTCAGTATAGTGCAGAACTGGACTCACATTTATTTCTGTTTGTTTTTGATTTAAATCAATGCGCAAAAAGATGCATGGTAATTTTATCATACTATTCAGAGGATGGCGCACATTTAAAAATTGTGAACACAATTGTGGAAAGTGGATCTAGTTCTGGACTAGGTTTTTTACTAACTTTTTTGTTGGTGGATACTCATTGCTTTGCTGTTTTGTAGATATTTTTCTTTCACGCTTCTTCAAGCCTTTTGTATGCAGCATCATTATCAATGATCTTATAGCCCCGGTTGTTCTTGTCTTCATATAGTGATCCATCTGTGATGTACTGAGATTCGTCTGCAGAAATAACTGTAATGAAGGCTCTTGGAGGTATGAATGTTCAGCAGCAAGCCTGAAAATAAAATGGAATGACATGTCTTTTTGAAAATTGAACACGTAGTTCTACATCTTTTATCTCACACAGGATGATAAGGGGAACTATATAGGAGAACAAAGTGGTGTGAAAAAATAATACTAATTTAAGCTTACCTTTTTAGAAATATTTTCAAACCCTCACTCCTTTCTTGTAAGAAACTTTCTTTGAACCTTCCAATCAGTTGCTTCCCAGGTAGCCTTGGCGCAGCACTAAGAATTATGTAGAAATAAGTAAAGGTTATATATCTCAGGGCCGTAACCAGAACTTTTACAGTTTACAGGGCAGGTGCACATCAAATAAAATTGGACCATTAATCATTTTTTTTATTACCAACTCACAAGGTGTACAGGCAATAATTTGCAGAACCAAAAAGAAAAAAAAGGTAACCAAAAGAAAGCAGAACCAAAAGAAAAAAGAAAAAAAAAGTAAAAAAAAAGGAGATGGATGAGCGGACTTTAAGCTTTTATGGGGGGATGCACGTGCACCTTGTGCTCCCCCTGGTTACGGCCCTGTATCTCATATCCAGGTATAAGGTTATAAAATAACTGCCTTATATCATCTTTAGGTAAGTTTCTTAAAATTGGGTTCACAACTAGCTAGACATCAACATGGACATTCCTTAACTTAATAAAGTTAGCGAAAAAAGAAACTGACTCAATGATGATATAAGGGTAAATTAATGTTCTTATATATGTAAAGCCAAAGTCAGCTTAATATTCAAAATCCTGTGCATAAAAGATTGCAAATATATTATTGCCGGCAGTCATACTTTTGCATGTCTCACTGTAAAAGCAACCATAATAGACCTCTTTACCTTGGAATTCACATTTACGCTTCATAATAAAAGATGCTTTGAGTGCATTCAATATATTTTAGCCAGTTAATTTAGAAGGGTTGTTCTTTCAAAAACTCAAGGTTTTAGCCAAGAAATCCATGTACCAAGCTGGATTCAATGACTTAAAAAATAGGTCATCGCTTCAACAACATCCGACAAAGACTACATGTCTTTCTCTAGAGAATAAGATTCTTTACTTGAGTTGTATCTATATTTGCATACACAGGCATTAAACAAAGAAATCATACTCTAGGGAAAATGAAACATGGTTCAAAACGGTAAAACCTTACACCCAAGGTAAAGAGATCTATTATACATAATTGATGTAATACAACAAACACCATACTTACTGCATCAAGACATCATTAAGACCAAGTTGATTTCTAAGCCAAACAAACTCTGAATAACGCCTACGTGTCTTAGAGTACAACAGAGGAAAGGAGGGGTGATTTGTCTGGGGGAAAAAATCCAATTAGATTTCAGATATAATATAACATTATTTTATCCACAGGCCTATCAAGTTACTTTACTGCAATATAATAGAATAATAGAGGTTATGTATTTTGATGATCCTAATATTTCCAAATATACTGAATTGTTACTGATTTACCACTTTATAAACGAGTCCAACTTTGGAATAAAAAGATTATGAATGTTCTACCCCAGCTAGTATAGACCAGTTTGCATCATCACTAATACAGGAAATGAGGCTCCAGAAAAAAATAATTTACTTAAAAAATAGCAGCGTAATAAACAGAAATATACACAGTAGAAAAGACCAAAAAACAGGTTACCAACATGTCCCTAGCGTGACTATGTGGTGTTTTGTAATTCAATATGTCGAAGGCGAGGAGGGGGCTATAAATATCGTGACGACTAAGAACATGCAAGCTGCTACAGTAGCTGATCAAAACAACAAGTGAAATTAATACCATAAAAACAAGCTTATGAATTAGAAAATTATTTAGCATTGAAGAAGGACAGAATATACTCTTTTTAAACTAACACTGACAGGGTCAAATTGTAGTCGCAAGTAATCCAGACAAATAAAAAGAACAGAAGCTGTACTTTTGACAACATATAAGCATATACCTTGACCTCAATTTCATAGTCTGTATAGAGAGCCTTTCCTCTATCGATGTGAGTACGTGGATTTTTAACATCAACGTCCAAACACTATAGATACAAATATACGACAAATATTAGCCATAAATATAGATATGGTTGGCGCTGGTAAAGTAAAATAAAACATTTGATTACAATAAAAACAATAACAGATTTCCCAACCTTACCGAGGAACCGAAACCTGGTGAAGAAACGTGGTCTCTTATCATGGCGATTCCATAGCTAGAATTCAGTCTAATCGATCATTTCACGAAGCTTATGAGTAATAAATACTTTCTAGATCTATTATTGAGGAGATCAAGCTACTAGAACTATTTATTTAAGGGAAAAATACTTCAGGCTGATGTTGGTCAAATGTTCGATTTGGAAGTCTTTGGTGTTGTTGTCCCAATGCATTCTGGGATGGGGTCTAGTATCTAGTGGGCGGGGAGGGGGTGGGGGTATCCTGGCATGATTTATTATAATAATACATGCGTGCCCTCAAATCTTTTACCAAAACTTTTAACAAAAGTGTAAAAAAAAATCTGAATGAAAATTTGCTGAAAAGCCTTCCAAACAGACGAGATAATTCTTTTTTTTTAAAAAGTCCCAAGTGAGTTTCAGTATGTACTTAAAGTCATAAAGCTAGTTTACTTCATTTTTCGTCGTTGGTATAGTTGTTTCAATATTGTTTTGTTATTGCTTCTATTCCTGATTGCCAATCTTTGAAATTTTTCAGTTAACTGCGACGCTGTTTTAATTCCGTATAAGATAGTTTTTTAACATTTTTTCATAAATTATCATGTGGCATTTCTGTAAAGTAGCTTTTTTGGTAAGCACATTAATTGTCCACGCTAAGTAAAGGGTTATTATTATTTTAACCCCTGCGTGCGATAGTATATATAGGCGCAAATTTTTACACAAAAACACTTCAAGTTTATCGGTTTCACTAAAACTTTTATTAATGACTTTCTTAAAGTTTGTTTACAAAGAAGTTGATAGAATAAATAATAAACTAAATATCTAAATATCTCAATCAAGATAATATGACGATAAAACCGAGCGATAAAAATCTTTAAAATCTAGGCTATTTTAGTCCTGTCGTTCAAACACACTTAATAATCCAATTGCTGCATTATATTCATCTGAACTATGAGTCCTGCGACGCAAATACGAGAGAGATACTATATCACAAGTTTTATTACTTTCACTTGGTGAGCGATGGTTGGGCGAAGAGCTAGGTGAGCTTGTTTCACTGTTGGCTGATGTCAAAACTGAAGGTAATGGAAACTGTAGGGCGTTGTAGGTCAAAGGGTTCGTAAACAGAAAGGCTGGAGCCACTGGCGAGGAAGTTTCGTCATCATAAGTCCAGTTAGCCAACGGCAGGAGTGAGGTGAGGCCAGTTATCGTTTGTGGATGTGGTGGAAAACTGCTTTCTGGCCACGCTGTGTCGGACTGGTGTTTGTCAGCTGTTGAAGGAGCAGGCTTGTTCTTGATCTCTCGCTTACGCCAACGAGCACGACGATTCTGGAACCAAACCTGAAATAAATAAAAAACACCATGAGCTCACTTATACACGCTAGGATTTGGAGTTATCTTGAATTGCGCCCACAAGATCAGCGGAGATTTATACCTGAATTCTGTCTTCTTTGATGCCAAGTTCATCAGTCAGTTCCTCTCTTGTCGTAATTCCAGGAAATCTTTCCTTCTGGAAAACTTCTTCCAGGCGATCGAGCTGTTCGTTCGTGAAAAAAGTTCGCTTGCGTCTTTGACGACTTCGGTTTTCTGTAAAGAAGCACACGAAAAAGGTTTAGTCCAAGTTTCAAGAAAACGTGATAATTCTTCTCACTTTAAGTCAAATCCAATTTGATTCTCTAATCAGTTTAAGAACCGTTAAATGATTTACTTACGAGGCAGCGGACTTTCATTATCGGATTCTGAAGATCGCTTCATGGATTTGGTTTTCATCTTAATACTTGTTGCAGTTGTCTTACTCTTGAGGTAGTGATCTGAATGATCTTTGTGGTGTACTGCAGAAATTCAAGCCCTATTTATACTCCTTCCCAAAAGGGGTGGGATAACTGATTTCTTTTACTAAACAATACCCAGATTCAAGTCACAATTAAAGTTGTTTACATGAAGCTTGTCACACACACGCTCGGATCATTCCAAGCGACGCATCTATTGTTTACCGCGTTTACCGCATCTATTGTTTCCAAAAGTGATAAAACTTTCAAAGTTTTTAATAAAATCAAAAACACTTACTTAAGACCAAGCATAACGAAAAAACGTATTGAGAACATTTTTTTAAAAGTTGGATATCAAAAGCTTATGTACGGAAAACATTGTAGAATCTTTTTCAGAAAGTGAATTTTTTAATTCCTCGAACGACTTTGTGTTAAAATATTTTTGGCAAACATTCCTTTCCTCTGGTATCATTTCCTTTCTCACGCATTTACGAAAGGTAAATTAATCTTTTTTCAGAAATTGGACTATAACTAATTGATTTGAACTATAACTCATTTAAAAAGATATTTTTTAAATGACACAGAATAACTGCGCAACTTGATTATAGTTGCGCAACTGGCTAGTGCTGACTCAATTTGATTTCCGCGCCGCTTTATAACTTCCTGGTTTGAGCTGCAGTAACTTAATTGGCTTTAACAAGTACAGCCATGACCGAAAGTAGCTGATCGGAAACCAAGTGTTCAAGATGTGTTAGATCCGATAAATGACATTATCTCAAACAAAAAGACCTAAAATGGGGGAATATTGAAATCCTGTGTTTAATGTTAACTTAATTTTGTAACTTCCGCTCTGGAAATACTTTCCCGAACGATAGATGGCAGGTTTTGCGGAGTGCGCACGACAAGAGGAATCAGAAGACTAACAGAATATCATTTTTTAATGATCATTATGACAATTACTGTACTGCAAAATAACGTAATTAAACCTATTACACAAAATTGCTCTTTTACTGTGACAAAGGAACACAAAATTGTTCTTTTACTCCGACGAAGGACTAGCGTCCGAAACGTCAGTAAGTTTTTTCATCTTTTCACGGTGTATAATTTACCTTTTCATCATTACTGTTTCATTAGAAACACCGACGCAGCTCACACTAGTTTTAATCTTCCTATTACACGAAATGCTGAACCGGAAAAACAAAGTGTTAGAAGTATTAGTCATGCATGCTATTGAGACCATACTCAGCATACTGATCCGTTGTACATACTACGCAGTTCAAACTAGTCTTAATAATCGATCGTTAGCTTCTTTTGTATTCCTTCCTAGTGTGTCCAATTGGTCCGCCACCATTACTCAATAGGTTTTAAAAAATATCTGTGAAAGATTTCTGCGCGCAAACGAAAACTTWGAGACTGACAGAAACTCTAGACTCGAAACATGTCATATAAACCGTGTAGTGTTAAAGTATTTTGGGAGCGCGCAATTACAAGTTCCGTGTTTGCACACGGTCTCCCTAGTATCGCGGGTTGCGTCGATGCACTTGTGTATGATTTAATGATAAAAAGGTAAATTATACGCCGTGAAAAGATGAAAAAACTTACTGACGTTTCGGACGCTAGTCCTTCGTCGGAGTAAAAGAGCACCTTTTCTAACTTTTTATCATTACTTTTTCATTAGAAACACCGACGAAGCTCACACTAGTTTTTAGCTAGTTATATCTTCTTATATGATTATGATTATATGATCTTCTTATATGATTTTGCTAATTGAAGGGTTAATTGAAACGAATGATGAAGAGAACTTGATGTAAAATGTATGCGAAGAGATACTTAAGGTTTTGAAATAAGAATCAAAGGTACTTCTCGCAATGAAAGGTACTACCACCTAGAAAATCCCTCAGCACTAGCTAGATATGTTAGGATGACTTTACTTTGACCAAATGCCAAGGGCATTTRATATTTTTCTCTCATTCTCTCTATTTCATTATACACACCGAACGCATAATTTATTACTACCATACAAATGAAAATTAGTTAACAGTTTTGTTGCTTTGCAACTTTCATAGAAAAAATCCAACCAATCCCCAAAAATTACCTGACAAAAGAGAAAGGTGTGATAGTGGAGTCAATAGAATTTATTTTTACGATCAGTAAAAAAAGAGAAAGACTGTCAAAGCGGGGGCATTCTGGCAACGAGGAGTGACAGCATTTTTTGACGTACGAGTGTCGCATGTCAACTCCAAGTGCAACCAGAAGAAAACCACCTCATCAATATTCAACGAACAAGAGCAAGAAAAGAAAAGAAAATATCAACAGAGARTTCKGGAAGTGGAAATGGGTTCATTTACACCGCTTATCTTTGGGACCAATGGTGGTATGGGCAAGGAAAGCCAAATTTTCCTAAAAACTCTAGCGGATAAACTGGCGAACAAAACTGGACAAAGCTATTCTGACACAATAACATATATTAGAACAAAGTTGTCGTTTGAGATTTTGAAAGCTGTAATTACATGCATTAGAGGCTCCCGCACTCCTTTTTATAAGAACAACGAAAGTGACTTTCTATTGGACTTTAGCATTAATACTAACCTTGCCGATATTAGATAATTTTAGACTTTTTTATAATGCTTGTTTTTCATTTTGTTTTTTTCTAGTTTTTTGTAAATAGTAACTTTTTCTCTTTAAATTTTCACAAAGTACATAATGTAAATATTCTTTTATTATTATTATTATTATTTTTAATGATTTACAAACTTATCATTATTATTACATTATTGTTATTAAAATTTATGTTAGATTTTTAGTTTACTCCTTCACAATTAAATGAATTGTGTATTTGAAGACGAAATTATTCTATTGTTTCTCATAGCGTCTTATAATCAATAATCCTTAACGACTGAAACTGTGTAAGCAAGTCAGGATAATTTTATGTCTAGATATTAAAACTGAAATAAAACAAGTCGGTCGCGGACGGGGACACGAATGAATTTTGTTAGTTCACGAAAATTTTTCTTTGCGCCGCGCGCGGGCCTGGTATACCAAGTTCAATGTTTTCTTACTCTAGAGAAACTGATTTAGGGGGAATAAGAGAATCCGAATTTGATGAACAGATCTTAACAGGCTGCGCGCAGGAATGCCAATTTTATTCGCCATGTTAACAAGCTCAATCTTAAATTGATCGTAATCCCTTTTGTTTATTTTTCAACATTTTTTATCAGCATTTTGCTATATTCGTAAACTAGGGGTACTTTTCGTTCCCAGCACCAAGACAATCCAGAATGAGAAGAGATAACTAGCTAAAAACTAGTGAAAAGTGAAAAAAGATGAAAAAACTTACTGACGTTTTGGACGCTAGACCTTCGTCTTTTACTCCGACAAAGGACTAGCGTCCGAAACAAGACCGAATTTGGATTTAGTTTGTTAGGTTTTGCGGAGGGAGGAAAACTGGAGAGCTTGAAAATAAACCCTTGGACTGATAAAGGGATGATCTCTAGCGATGTCGAGTCCAGGAATGGAACCTGAGACCCCAGGGGTTAGAGGTGAATGCAACATCCGCGTCTTCGCTTCCCGCCTAAACTGTGAGAATGCAGAAGGCAGCACTCGAGAAAAAACTTTTGCTATTCAAGCTGAAAATGAAGTTACAACAAACGGCCACAAAATTTGTAAATAAGAGGGAAACTTAAACTGCACGCCGTGTAGAAAAGCTTTTTTAAAACTGTAAAAGAAAGTTTTTTAAACTGTACTGACGTTTCGGAAAACGAAGACGTAGCAAATGTCAATACTGAAGCAATAGCATCTTTGAGGCTTTCGCGTTCAAACATGATATTAAATTTATAAGATTAATCTTACATTTAACGTAAGTTTAAGAGAAACAACGACACTTTTAACTTCCATGTTTGACGCAAGCATGTTTCCATAGCGTCAACTGTCTTCATCTTTATTCACTTGTATTCAACACCCCAACCAACTAATTACCGCGAGTCATTATCCGCTACGAAATTTGTTTATTGTCTTTCTAGACTTATGTTAAGAATACATATTTTAAATTCATACAGAAACGTTTTTAGAAGCCTCTGACACGATTTTGGCCGAGTGCCTTCTGCGCGTCGATCATCTTGACATCTTCATGTCTAATACAATGTCAATACTTCATATATTCTCTCGTAGTGGTTCTCATATAACAATTCAAGTTTTGATTTTTGAAATGCAATAAAAATCCACTTCCTCCTTCCTGGATGGAATAAAAGGCAAAACCAGATAAGTAAAATTTCAAAATTTCAAAAAATGTTTGGATTGAAAAAAACATGTTCTTTTTGTTGAAGATACAACATTCTATACTCTTATACTATATCGTACTAAAACACAACTTGGGCTACCTATTCGAAAGTAATTATAGTTTAATTCATCTTAATTCGATCATTTCAACTACGTCATAAGTTCTGTAAATCCCTGCCGAACTTAGCGTCGACGAAGAGCTACACATAAACTTATTATAGTTCTCCAGTTTGAGTCCATCGATCGTCGAATGCACCACACTGTATTGTGAGTCATTACTCGACCCATATCCACAAGTCCCATCATCACTTAGATTATTCGACCTCCGTAAGGACGTATTATTTATACTCGTGCTCGAACAAGGCACGCTTATGACGTCATATTCAGGGATAGAACGCGATAGACTAGGCGGTAAATTGCAATCACCTTCGTCCGTTGAATCCAATTCACAATCATTAGCAGGCGTCACATTCGTCAACCAGTCTCGTAATCGAAACGTTTTAGTGTTGATGATGTCGTAATCGACAACGTTGGCATCAGTTTCATCATCAGCATCATATTGGTTACATTTCGTACAGTTCTCTTCGGGGCAACGTTCACTCGAGCTAATCGATCCATTCGAGTCATTTTTACTGGCAGAATCTTGTACATCTTCTGCGATGAGTAACTGCCCCGTTGGGAGAACAGAAGCAGCGTTATTACGAAGGCTTTTTCTTCGACAGGCTTTACAAGGTTTTCTTTTGCCGCTCGAAGATCCTAACATATTTGTACACCCTGAGCTCCAGCCATTTCCTATACCTTGGCATTTTAGTATGCAATCTAGAGAAAGAGAAATTAAATCACTAATTCTGTCTGGGCATAAAACTGACTTAGACTTTGAGTTTATAATCGCTACACTGACTTACGAGCGTTATGCAAATCACTTTAAAGATGCGGGCATGCATGCAATAAGTATCCACCATACACTTCAGGCTCACCCATGCATACCCAGCATACACTTGGCTCACCCACTCATACCCAACATACATTTGGCTCACTCATGTCTACCCAACATACATTTGGCTCACCCATGTCTACCCAGCATACACTTGGCTTATCCACTCATACCCAGCATACACTTGGCTCACCCATGCATATGTTAGCACCTCCAAAACGTACACAGATACTAACAAATTATAGAATCTTCTTGTCTCCTTTAATCGTACTTTTTTTGGTTCTTTTTGAGTCTACACGTGTCTACATGTATATAATATCTCATTACCATTTACGTCATTTTCACCACGTGACACATACCCAGCATGCACTTGGCTTACCCACACGACCCAGCATACATTTGACTCACCCATTCATACCCAGCATGCACTTGGCTAACCCACAGATACCCAGTATACCCAGCATACCCTTACGTACCCAGCATACATTGTGTTCACAGTTACATGATACAATGCACCCTCCTATACATACCCGGCATACAATGCACCCTCCTATACATACCCGGCATACAATGCATCCCTCTTTAAATACCCGGCATACAACACACCCTCCTATACATACCCGGCATACAATGCACCCTCCTATACATACCCGGCATACAATGCATCCCTCTTTATATACCCGGCATACAACACACCCTCCTATACATACCAGGCATACAATGCATCATACTATACACACCCGGCATACAACACACCCTCCTATACATACCCGGCATACAACACACCCTCCTATACATACCCAGCATACAACACACCCTCCTATACATACCCAGCATACAATGCATCATACTATACATACCCGGTATACAATGCACCCTCCTATACATACCCAGCATACAATGCATCATACTATTATACATACCCGGTATGTGCCAATCAAGATTGTTACTGCCAGAGAAGCCGCTGTCTGTGTTTGTATGCTCACTGCCTTTTCTTGTCAATTTTTCATTCAATTTTTTTTCTTGTAAAATAAGCTCTGCTACATCTCGTTGGTCTTTTCCTTCAAGAACCCGTTCAATTTCTTTTGTTGTCAAACTGCTTTGAAGGAAAAGATGAACTGCTAGCTCTGACAGGTGAAATGTTGTGTTTATGACTCTGAAAGCAAAATAAATTAATGTCATAATACATGATAATAATGATGATGATACAGGTAAATGTCGACTCAGAAAAAGAACATGAGCATTGGATTTCTGAGCACTTTTAAAGTTTCAGCGACCACACAACTTTAACTATTTCTTGGTTTTCAAGTTGTTCTTCTTTTGCAGCGTTCTAAGGTTGCTAATATTTTAGTCAAGTCAAAACTCCCAATCGTCAGGAAGTTTGTTTTAAGGTGGCTGACTACTTTTCGACATTCGATTTGAACCCACGATGTGCGCGTGCTCAAAAACTGCTGAATAATCTTCACGATTTTATTGAAGAACCGTACACGTTTTGAACTTCAAGAGGGCAAAACCCTCAAATTTTGCACGGGACTCTATATTTTTTTATTATTTTCCAGAATAACAGGTAATATCCCATTATTTTTCAATTCTGTTTGTCATGAAAATTGTAGAAAATCGTTCTGTTTTTTTACGATAACTTGCACACCATAGAACCTGAACAAAAAAACTTTTCCCATTGTCTACGATAGTTTATTAAAACAACTTTTATCAGTATTTTATAAATATAGTGTAAGTTACGTGTTCGGAGAAAATTACTCATGTTTCTTCCTTATTTTCGGTTTTATAAATTTTTTTGGTGATAATACCCATAGAGACTCAAAACGAAAGATAATGCAGCTGGAAACTAACTAAAACACTCACTTCGTCAAGAATTCTTCCAGTGCAGCTCGTCTTTTTTCCAGAAAATCTTGATTAAATCTGCCCAAAACCCTTTTGTTTGGCAATGGAGGTGGAGTGCTGCAAAGGGAAAATTTTTTCATGGAGTCGATTATATAGTGCACGCACATAGTACTACTTGCCGTAACATTAAAATGCCTTCTCATTGTCTTCCAGTGATTCAAGCAATCATAACGCTTAAGGTAAGATACCGTACGACTATATAGACTCCTGTCCGTACACTTTTCCCACCAGTCTCAGAACAAACGCGTTTTTCCGCTCCCTGCTCCCCGCCTATTCGGCTCTAATTTCCGCGCGTCCATAGGAATCCTAAATGCGCCTTTACAGAAGTTCATAGTTATGAACTTCTGGCCTTTACAATACTGAGTCTGGGTCGTACGACTACGGGTTTCCCACTCATTCACCGAAACTACCACTCTGATCGAACGGTCATTACTAAAATTTAGTTGTACTCGCCCGCTGAAATAACAAGTATACCAAGAAACAAGGACCTCACTGAGAAGTTAAAAGATCTATATTCTGTTACGTTAGACGTTCCAAAAGAGAGGATATTTAAAAAAGTATTCTCTCTATCTAAACAATGCGCCCGATTGATTCATGTTGYGCTATAATGGTAATTCACGATGAAATTTGTTACTCTGACAGCTACTAAGCGCCTTGAAGAATGGCAAGGGTCTGGTAATGTTTTGTGCTCAACATCACTAGTACGGCTGCTAAATCTCCACTGTTTCTTTATGAGAACTTCGATTCCAAAAACTTACGTCGAAATAGAGCTGTTCTTTGCTAGTGTTCGTCGCAGCCATTCAAATTCCGAGAATCTTCTACGTACTTTTGACTGTTGGAGTGCAAACGCCATACTATTAGTCTGTCGACACCAAAAATAAAAAATCTTAGCCATATTCATGTCAGTAAAAATGAGTCTAGCCAAGAGATCATACTCTCTTGGTCTAGTTCATGACCCTATAAATAAAAGTGCACTGATATCTACTGAATGGAAAGGAATGGGGTTCAAGGGACATGAGAAATGATCTCCTCAGCAGCCGTTCTTAGTGTCGGTCTGAAAATTCCCTGACCGATACTAAGAATCGCTGCAAAGGAAACGAGAAAGGGTAAATTCAATTTCTCTTTCAGAAAAGAAGGGGGATATACGTACTAAAATTATCAGATAGGGGTGGAGTGGGTTAGCAGATTGTTATTTTTGATTCCCGTCAATAATTATTCCCCCCCCCCCCCCCCCAAAAAGAAAGAAAAAAAAGAACAAAGAAACGAAAAAAGAATGAGTGTTAAAGAAAAAATGTACTCACAGAAATGACTATTTCGTAATCAGTAAAAGACGTCCATCTTCTCTTCAAATGGGTTCTTGGGTTCCGTACTTCAACAGATATTAACTGCGATTTCAAGAAGTAAAATGATCAAATTTTCCTTTGTTTTAAGACAAACATCATCACGAGATGTCTGTCAAGCATTGTCTCAAAAATCACGCTACGGCCGTGCCTGAACAAACACTACTCTGAATTTATGCAACTGAAAAAATCGGGTTGCCTATAGTAGTCCGTTAAAGAAGTCCAAATAGAACAGCTCAGAGAATGGCCAGACTTTTTTAAGCGCAGAATGCGGAACTGAATATGCCAAGGATAAAAAATCCTGTTGCGAAATGTTTTTAGATAGAAGATAAAGAGATAAGACAAGAAGACATTTTAAAAAGCTGTAGGTATATAGAAGAACAGGAAGAACAACATCTCTTGTTTACACAGTTAGCTGTTTTTTGAGAAAAATAAAAAAACCTGTTTTTCCAAGCGTTATAAATGGATACGACTAAATTTTCAAAGCATAAAACAACTCAATTAAAGAATCACTTAGCAGTGGCTTATAGTTGATTTCAATGGAATACAGTTAGCGCTTATTGCATCATCTATGACTCTGTTGTAGCCCTTAACAATGAGTTTTCCCTCATTTGCATTTACAAATTTGTAAAAGTTTACTACTAACACTTTGCTTAAACGCTTTTGTAAAGAAAGAGAATCCTAATCCTTTATATAAGCGTTATAAATGTAACAACTTCGAGATGTCGCTTCTTAACCCGTTCTTTAGCCAACCGGATGTTCCAAACGTCTAGCATTCAATAGTTTTAGCGAAAGTTAACGAACAAGATCGAAATTCAAGGTATTAGCGTATAGTAAAAGGGAAAAACACTCAAAGAAAAGCTTATATCTTTTTTCAAAGCATATAAAAGAAAAATTACTAGATTTTTATGAACAACTCCAGCAGTTCCAAAGGTCATCTTCATTCTACGGGACAATATGTTTCTCGCAGAAAAAAAGGACCAAATGTACGCGGTAGATGGAGTTTAAGTTTGAAGATTTTGTTTACGTACCTCGTCATTATCCATTGCTGAAGATTCTACGACAGAAGAATAGTTATTTGGTGTCGAAACTCAAAGGACATCCTGATTGTACACGTGAAAGGTACAACTCAACAACAAACTTGTCGATCTGGTTCCATATCATGGACAAACAAAACTGAATACTCAGGGGGAGGGAGACGGGATTTATCGATAATACTTGAAATTCTACAAAAAATTCTTTATCTTTCAAATAGGGACTAGCAAAAAGCGAAAAGTAGATCAACGAAAAGTAGATTTTTAGTGTAATGAGAACATAATATGGGAAATAATATTATATGTTTTTCAGGGGGTATTAGCAATGTTATGGGATACCTGTGTTGCTTGGTGTAAACAGAAGGATCGCCATCTTGAACTCTCGAATAATGAGGTAAGCGTAACAATTTTGAGCTATTAAAAATTAGCCTTTAGGAATAATAAATATGTGAAAAAGAATTTTATTTTCGATTCTTGTATAAATTTCAGTTTGATTGCAAATCATTTCTAGAAATCCGAACAAAAATCGCACAAAATGTTTGGAAAAAATATCGTTTTATTTGCTATGACGATTTTTCCTGGTTATTTATAGCAGGGACTCTGGGAAGAAAAAGCATTAATATAGGTCCTGAGCAGTATAAATTCCATAAAAAATAATCAATTACTTCTTATATGTTTTATAATTGTTTTATTTAAGCTCAATTTATTATTATTATTCATTTATCTCGTCAGGATATTTTCGTGAATAATGTCTTCTGATCTTCCACCGCCATACGAAGAGAAACCCCCTGAAAGACCATGCTTAGACCAAGACGACGGCTACTACGTTAAAATAAACCATGGCACTCTATACAATGTTGATACACCGTTATCCAATCCCACCAAACATGACCTCATCCTGCAGGACCAACTAAAAGGGGTGTCCACCAAAGATCTTAATGGCTCTCATATCCAGTTTCAGTTTGTCCAGCCTGTCGCTTTAAGGTCGTTGGCAAAGTTTTTTCAGCTCCCCAAGAATGTACCAAGTTGTGATAGTGTGTCCAATAACTTTGGTTATAACCTCTGGTACTTTCAAATCAATTATACTATTTTACTGGTATTGATGGTGCTGTTGGCTATGCAAATGTAAGTAAAAAATTAAGCTGGTGCGTTTGTAAACGATAAAATAATCTGTAAAAAGTATGGGGACGTTCTTTTTCACACATTGAGATCCTTATGCTGAAGTTTGTAACAATGACTTCCTAAATCAGGATTTTTTAACCCATTGGCAACTGCTAGTCTGAGGTAGCAGCCCCACTTTGTATTGCCACTACATACAGAAGGCTGCTATTTAGGCTATACTGTCCCTCTGTTTGGAACATTCATCCAAGACACAGAAAGGGGAGGGGGGTTGGTAAGGATGAAATCAAATCTTTGTTGTTATAAATGTTAAAAACATTCAAGAGGGTATTTTCATGCTGATTTATGCTGATGGTTAGAAAAAAGTGGACACCAGCTATTACTAGTACTAGTGGTGTGTGCAAAATTATATCATAGCTGTAAAATAAGGCTGGTACTTCCATGATGGGTACAGCAGCAGTGTGCAATTTTTTATATGTCAAGAGAGAATCTAAAGGAGAGGGGGTAATACCATTGGATTTATATACGTAATCATTGAAATTATTATTTCTTTTTGGTTAAAAAAAACTAATGTAGATTCTTTATTTTTATTCTATTTTGAAACACTCTTGGCTCAAATCTTGAAATGACAAATTAGTTAAGTTTGTTTTTTAATTATTTTTTAATATTACTAAAACAACAATGCTAGTCTTCTCCTTATAACGTAAAATATTATTTTCATGTTAAAAAAAATTTTTTTTCACATGTACTCATTCTTGCTTTCTCTCCAAGAATTAATTGTCAGACATTCAACCTTGAAATTTACCTAACGGTGGTTTTTATGGCAATGGTCTGTGTTTTTAACCACGTTGGTTGCCAGGCAAGAGCCCTAGGTAAATACATATATGCCTTTAACATGCAAACAAAGTGGAAATAACAAATATTTATCTTAACATATAACTGTTCATATATGAGTCATTAAAGTATAGAAATATTATAAAACGTACATGAATATTTGCGGCGAGGAAGTCTTGCAAATAAAGAGGAAGGAAGACTGAAGGAAGACAGATGGAAATTATAGGCATATGGTTATATGATTGGCTGAGAGAGATAGTGATAGTGATATTGTGAAAGTGATGTTTTGATACCCCCAAACTTAAGTGATAATTAAGATCATTATGTTTTATGTGAAAGATGGGTTTAATTGCTCACGAGGTGACATCATGATCACTAGATGTGTGATTGCTGTAGTCTGGTCTAGTCTTTAAAAATGTGTAGTTCCAGAAATTATCCATATTTCCCAGACAGAGGGATTTGGACTTTCAAAAGAGTGTGTGTGTTGNAGGGGGTGGGGTCAGAGAAAGAATGAAATTACTAGGAGTATGGAGGGGGGGGGAGGGGTTCTTTAAAAAGATTCCTTTGTGGGAGAGAGGTGTCCAGTTTAAACATTGTTATTATTAGAATTAGAATTGTTGATCTTGTGGTTCAAATTGATTTTTCCATAAAGAAACCTTGTCCTTTACATATTTACCAGAATTGATTTGCGATCAATGTTATTGATGAGTGTGACAATGATGCACTAGTCCATTGAAACCCCCGACCCCTGTATTCCTACCCCCGACCCCCAGGAAAGGGCAGTAAATTTAACATTCACTTGGTGTTAAATTTAGCACTTTCCTCTTGCCCCGGGAAAATATTTGCTGTTGAAATTGTTGAAGTTGTTGCTGTTAAAATTGTTTAAGCTGCTGATTCAGAAGTACAGGTTAATTCCCCCATATCCCTGTGCATTCACTTTGTTACATGCACTTTAAATCGCCCTTTCCCAGGGGTTGGGGGGTGGGTGTTTCAATGATAACTGATGTATAACAGTTTCTTGGAAGTAAGTAATGGTAGTTTTACCATTGAAGGTATCGTATACTATAATGACATAGTAAAAATATCACTTTCACCTTATATTCTCTCAGCTGCTTGCTGTAAATTAATATATGAAGTATTTTAAAAGTCAACACTGCAAATTCTAGATAAAAAAGCTTAACATTTATTTATAGGGCTGTAATTTAATACCAAAATTTTATAATTTTATTTATTTTTATGACCAGGGCGCAAGATACAGATATCTGAACAGCTGATTGCCATTTTTCTGGTCATGACTCTTTGTAATGGTCTTCTCCCTGAGGCATTTGATTTTATCTTTTTCTTTGGTATGTGCATTTACTTAAGTCAAGGGCGGATCCAGGGGGGCATAGGGGGGCTGAAGCCCCCCTTCAACAGAGAAAAACATAGCAAAACAAAACTGAAGAATTAGATGCTTTTTTTATTGTTTTCCGTTGTGTTGATGGAAGAAACTCGATTAGCCCCCCTAAACTCAATTAGCTCCCCCCTAAAATTTTGGCTGGATCCACCCTCGTAAGTAAAGATAAAACTTGTTTTCTATAAGGTGTTTGATCCCATATCAGCATTGCTAAGACAATGCATAAGGGAAAGGAGGTGTTAGTGGTCATCCTTTTCTCTTGAAATTAACCGGAAGGGGGGGGATGTTACATGAAGAAACACATCAATCAAGGTCTGTACTGTTAGAGCCTACTTTTCTGTATTAATATTAAGCCTCACAAGGAAAACATTTTCCTCAAAATCTGTTTGAGCTCAGCATCCCTGTAACAGTGGTGGATTCAGGGGTGGTTCCATGGGTTCCATGGAACCCCCCTTTTGTGAGATCTTCTGTAGCCAGTTATGTTCTTTACGCTCGGTAGAATGAAATTGGAACCCCCTTTTTTGTAAAGTTAATATTACCTGCTTTTTCTGCATGACGGCTATTTTGGAATCCCCCTTTTTAAATTGCTAGTTCCGCCACTGTGTAAGACCACAGCTCTGAAGTTTTAGTTACAGTAGTGTACATACCCTACCAGCAGTCGTGCTCATGCATAGCTTCCCAACTATATCCCTGCTTTAATCTTCAAATGTGATACCAATCATTTTGTTCTTTTGCAGGTGCTTATTTAGCATTTGTGTTCATCCATGCATCAATCATTCAAGTTCGCAAATCATACCAAGTGAAGACTGTTGTTTATGACATCTAAATCACCAAGGATACCTCAACTAAATTTTGTTTAGGATAGAATAAATTTATATGTACATAGGTTTGAAGAATATGAATCATGTAGATTACCCTGAGATAAAGTATAAATTATAAATGATAAATATAACTTTAAATAAACTAATGAAAATAAACTATGAGATGTCTGACAGTAATTGATGGTTTTCACATCCATCATGTTGGATGAAGTTAACAAAAGATTCGTCATTAGTCCCTCTTGTATGTCATCCAACATGGCTGCTGTGTCTTTTGTTATTTCACTCTCATGGGAATGATTGCAAACCAGCAATTTTGCATGGGCCAATAAAAGACTCATCTTTCTTAGATCTAGCAAGGTGTCCCGAATAAATGTGTGGCTCAAGAGCGTCCAGGTACCAAAATAATCTGAGAATATCGAATGAAAGTAGTATTCCAGTCCTGGAGCCCATCACCTCCCCTCCACACTGAAAAAAAAATCGTTACATATGTTTTGAGGAGGGGAGGGAGAAGGAAAAAATGGGGTAATGGGGAAAATCCAGGTTACACCCGGCATGAATGCTATAGAAAAAAGTGCAAGAAAAATAATCCACTAAGACAGGAGTCTTAAAATATGCGGACCCAGGAGCATGTGAGCAAAAAACAAAATTTCATTTAAAGTGCTACTATGACGAAAATCGCTCAAACTTGGATTCAGCTGAAACTTCCTAAGAATACTCTTTAAAGGTCCAATAATCACTGTATGAAGTGTTTTCTCGATATTCAGTACGAAAGTATGATATTTTTACGATTATTTTTTGGAGTCTGTGACGTCATACACTCAACATCGAACATCGCTCCATACGTTTCTTTGTAGTTTATGATCAAAATATCAGTAGAAAGGGAGAAAGAAATGCCCAAACACCCCAAAATACAAATTATAGTCACAAGTAATGCGAAATAAGCACATTAGCCACCCTTTGGGCTTCATAGGAATAAAATAAATGAAGGATTTATATACAAAGAAATATATGTAGCAATGTTTGATGTTGAGTGTATGACGTCACAGACTCCAAAAAATAATCGTAAAAATATCATACTTTCGTCCTGAATATCGAGAAAACACTTCATACCGTGATTATTGGACCTTTAAAGAGTATTTTTAGGAAGTTTCAGCTGAATCCAAGTTTGAGCGATTTTCGTCATAGTAGCACTTTAACATGATTAATTAATATAGTGCATTCAAAGTTTTACCTTTCAAGGTAAATTAAATAACTCTTCTGGGAATTTTGCGATGCTTTAGTCATGGCCGAGTTAAAGCTTTAAAAAAATCGTTTAAAAATAGTTATTATTTGTTAATTAATCCTGTAAGATATTATCAATTGTTTATAGAAAAGGAAATTGCCCTTTTTAATGCTTTCTTATTTATCATCTAGTCGCTTAACTTTATCTGCGCGGAAATATTTATTCGCATAGTTTGTGGTCATCGAATAAAAGTTTTCACTCTCAAAATCTTCATACATAAAAATAATAAGGAAATCAGTATTTTCAGCCATACTTGCTTTGGTTCGTTGTGCACGGTCAGCTTATCACGTAATGGTACGGTTCAACCTCAAACGCAAAACAATACCTTTATTAGATATGAAGTTTCCAAACCATTCCCGTTCATTAACTGTGGCCAAATTTTAGAGCTGATTAAACTACAAATTTCATATCCTATTTGGAAATAGCAAAACTGGGACGAATTCCTGAACTATAAAACCTCCATTTCCAATTCTTTCTTCCTTTCGTATTTTTTATTTTTTACTTAATTGGTAAACACGTGTTAGTATGCATAGTTAATAAAGCATTGAAATCCAGATGTAGTTAATTGTATTACGCCATTCCTTATTCATGTATGACAAGATTAGAATCAATTCCTGATTTCAAACCATCCTTTTTCAAATTTTCCTTTTTTCCTTTTATCTTTTCTCTTCGCTTTACTCTTCTTCACCACGTGAATTTGTTATGGGTATCCTGTGTGTTAGCCGCCAGCGAGCACAGTCCACCATTCAGCGGTGACCATGCGCTAGACTCGTAATGACACGAATCCAAATTCAACATGGCGGTTTTCTGTAAACTACTGAACTTCTTTTTCACTACAAAATACCTAGACTTCCTTGGAATTTAAGCCAGAAACCCCACCAGGAATTCCCCAGAGAGCTTGATAGATCACTTTTGTCCTGATTTAGTCGAAGAACATGTATCCCCAAGGCTAATAGCCCGACATTGCCATGGACGGTCTTCGGGCTTGATGTCTGGTGTATTTGGGCGCCTTCGATGGTGCATTGTTCACGTTCCCGCCACGTTGTGTGAACTTTTGAGCGCATAAATACTTTAGAATTGGACCGTATGTCTGTTGATGGATTACCATGATCAAGGGTAAGACCTCTTCGACTGGACTAGATGATGGGATCAAATACGTAGAAATACCTCGAGGATGGAAGCGAATCCTAGAAAATGATTCAATACACTACATCAGGTTCGTATTCAACAAAATACACACTGATAATTCAATTTTGAGACCACAAAGTAACTCTTTTAACACTTGGTTTAATCTTTTTACTAAATCATTGTACCGTTGTTTTGGTTTAACGGCAAGATACTCTAGTCACGGATGTTATCGAAAACTGTGATTGTAAACCCAAAACAAAGCGTCTGACCGAATACTGTGTGTATACCAATTTTATTTGTCCCGCTGTTATAATTTCCTATTTCTCAAAATTTAGAATTATTCTTATTGTGATTTTATGCTCTAGATTTTATTTTTAGTGTCGTAAACTGGATGGATTATTTTGAGCGGCGTCACGGAATATAAGTTATTTCTTATTAATAATTAGACAATTTTTTTTTAACGATCAACATATATAATTTAGAATATTCTTAACTTTGTTATAAGAATATTGGTTTATAATTGTTAAAATATGCTATTTTGTTAATTATCCAATTACTAATTTTTGTTTTATGTTCTACAGCCCAAGTAGTTATTGTCTGAAGTCTTACGAAAATGTAATAGAATACCTAACATCARATGGAACTTGCAAGTGTGGGTTGGACTGTCCACTTCTCATTCAACATGTTTTCAATTTTGATGCAAGTGTTCGAAATAAAGAGAGAGAAAATGCTTCCAAGGCATTTGGGACTGAGTCATCATGTAAGCTGTGTGAAAGCAATCGACTAAAAGGAAACCATAGATCAGAGCAGGGTCTAGCGGCAAGTCCATTGAATCAGACACTGAAACACACAGCTAAAAAAAATATTAAGCCTTCAACTTTTGATGGCACTCTGACGTCCAAGAAAGGTATATTTGGGCAAATTTGATTACCGTTCAATTTTAATCACATTCAAAAAGTATAATATATACACTGAAGCATTTTTATTATATTATTAGATATACTTCCTGTTTTCAATGTCTTTTTTATTTTATTAGAGGAATTTTTTTATTATGCGCAGTAATCAAGCAAAATGCTTCTATTTTCGATTTAAATAATCAAGTAAGGTTTCTTGATCATTGATATATGGCTGCTGCTGTTCAAATCCTTCAAGGGCTTGAAAAAGTCTCAGACAGGCTCACTAATTTGGATTCAAAAAGATAGTGACTTCAGCAATGTAGTGTCTGGCAAAGAGTCTTGTAATAATTATCATACTGATCCTATAAGACTAAAGCTAACCATATAGCACTAAGATCAAAATTACATGGAATGAATAATTTTGACTTATTAGGATGCTAAAAGCAAATTTGATCTGTAAATGAGCTATGTCCAGATGTATATCAGCACAGAGCTCATTTCAAAATTTGATAAAATTAGAGGATTTTCTAGAAATATTCCTAGAGTCAATCATGTAACTAAACATTATTCGATTTAAAAAAAAAAGACTTTTCCACATGATTTTTATTTTACTTTACGGTCGTCAGCTTGTACTGTTATGCATCCCAGCCATCAAATCAAGACATAGGGCTGTCAGAATAAGGCAAAGCACCGGCAATGGCTTTCAAAATTAACCGCCGACTACTTTTTTTTTCAATAAAATACCACAGCCACCTACTCATCTACTCCAAACTATTCTGAAAGCCCTGAGATATAGGTAGTGAGATATATGTTGGTCGTGCTTTTTTCTCCTTAGGACTCTAATTACGGAACTCTGTTCCCATACATACTAAAAAAATATTGTATTTTTTGCACTACGATGTGAAGACCTACGAAGTGTTTAGTCTTATTTCACCGGCTGCATGACCTCAAAACATGCCATATTTTTCCTCTTAATGGTGAATGCAGCAAAAATCTACTTAAGGTATCTATTAGAAGCATATTTCTTGCAAGAAAAATGCATTTTTCAAGAATGAAGTTGGAAAATACTTTATATTTTTCGACAAGAAGTTGTTTTTTTCAGGTCATGAAGTCAGCAGAACAAGACTAAACACTTCGTAGGTCTTCACATTGTAGCACAAAAAATACCATATTTTTTCTCTTCTTGGCGAGTTAATAGCAAAAATCTACTTTAAATATCTACAAAGAATATATTTCTTGCAAGAAAAGGGGATTTTTATCATTATTTAGTGCGCTAAGGCCTAAGGCAAACATCGAACTTTCCATGCACCGAACTCATTAAAAACAATGGATATCAGGTGATAATGAGGCGGCATTCTTTGATGTTATTAAGTTCGGTGCACGGAAAGTTTGACGTTTGCCCTAGGCCTAACTTACCTTTTATCACCAAAAAAGCTATCCGAATCCCCTATCTTTTTTTACATTCTCGCAAAGCTCAAACCCTGTAGAATGCCAGCTACAATGGCCGATTTGATCATGTGACCTCTTAGTGCAAGTCGCCTATTGGTCATACTATGTGTCTTTACTCTTATTGGTCATAGCGGTCAGCCAATCAGATTGTGATATGCTCTGTTTTTGTAAAAATCATCGTCATTATCATTATTATTATTATATTCATCAACATAATACTATAGGAGATATTTGATAATTATATTTTGTCACTATTACAAACAGTGGTATATTTCTCCTATTATTTTTCAGTTATTGGTCACTCTCGCACCAAATTAGACTCTCCAAAAGTGAAGAGATCGAAGAAGGCATCAAGTCCCTTTTCTGATGTTCCAAGTCCACCACCAATTCCAATAAGTAGCCCAGTACAAAATGTTCCAAATAATCTGGGTGCCAACCAAGGACCTCTTCCGAGCTTCGCAAGCATTGTTAGTAGCTCAAAATTTTTTAATCCAGGACCCAATAGAGGACCCTTGCATCCTACTGGTTCACTACCCTTAAAAACCAATGAACAGAATGCATTTGCTTTTCCGAAGCCTGTTTCAACTGCAGTAACATCACCTCCATCACCTGTTGTTACCACCTCATCTGCAACTATCTCTGCACAGGTCTCGGAGACAAATCAAAATCATCTAGAGAACTTGCCTGTGGTGAATAGAATTCTTGCACCAACAAAATCAACCCCAAGTGCTAGAGTTCTGGTTGGGGGTAACGCCAATACAGCAATTTCATCGGCATCATATATTTCTGTATCTAAAGCATCTAGTGTTTCAGTTCCTTTGACAACTGTAGCATCAATCATAAGCACACCTACATTACCTAGTTTATTTTCACCACTGGATGGGGCAGCAGTATCAACAGAGGCAGCCAAATTGCCTTTAAGGGCTATGTCTAAAGCAAAACCAAGAGTTAGATTACCAAGGGCAAAACCTAAGCCAAAAACAGATCAGAAAGCAGGTTCAAAATTGAAAGCGGCCAAAGGTCCTACCAAAGTTACTCCAACTATGTTGACTACTGTATCGTCCATGCAACCAACATTCCCGATACCTAGTTTGGCTGCTACTGCAGTGGTTTCTAGTCCTACGTCATCATACTGGCCAATGCCTCCATCATCAGTAATGGGCAATATTAACCAGGCACCTTATCAGACCTCTACTTTTAATCCTTTGAGCTCGACAGTTCCATGCACTCCTGCAAATCTAATTGGCATATCAACTGTCAATTCCTCAACTAACTCAACATTTGCTAGACATCAAGAGTCAGTTATACACGTGCAGTCCATTGCATCGTCTTCAATTCAGACATCACAGAATTACCAGAGTCAAGGTGTTAGATCACAGTCTTTAGCCCAAAGTGCCACAGGAGGAGGTAGTGTTCAAGCACAAGCTAGTGGCAGTCCTGTGGATGGAAAGGGTAGTACAGTGAGTCAAGTACTCACTGCTTCAATAAATTACCCTGTAGTAGCGACCCCTAGAATACAAGCCCAGGCAGGTATGATGTATGTTGCTGCCACACCTGGTGTCAATGTGTTTCCTTCAAACTATCCTTATATGGCAGCTTCAGTGCAACAGATGCAAACTTCTCAAGGCACATTTACTCAAACTCAGAATGCCAAGAGCTCTTTGGCTGTATCCACAATGGTCACTACCAGTCAGCAGCCTATGAATGTATCACAGGTTGTGATGTCAGAAGTGGGTGCCAGTCAAAACCAGGGAAAAGTCAGTTTCCAGGTTCCTGGAATGTATTTACAAGGAGCTGCTCCAAATCAGATGTTTCCTTTAAATTCACAAGGCTTCAACATGGGTCAGTATAAAGGAGCATATCAACTGCCTGGTGCAATGTATCAAGCTCCAGTACAGGGAGGTGCAATGACGTTCATAGCACCAAGTGCTGCTAAGGGAACATATCCCGGAGTCCAGGCACTTGCTACGGGTAACCTTGGTCAATTTGCATATCAAAATCCATATATGTTTGGAATTGCAGTCATGCAGTCTACAACCAACCAGGCAACAAGTGCTACAGTTACAAGTACTAGAAGCTCTCCTGCTTCTTCAACATCTGTCACTACATCCCTCCAGATGATACAACCACAGACTTTACAGAATCCTGCGGTTGCTGCAGCATTTGAATCTTTTGTTCCCATTGCACCGGCAGCTGGTGGACAAGGTCCAAGGTTTGCTCAGACATTAGCACACCTTGCTAGTGCATATAACACTTTCCCGTCACCAGGGATTCTTCAAGGTTCTAATGCGAATCAGATACAGCTGGCGTACCAGATGATGCAGATGGGCTCAAATCCAAATTCAGCACATCAGCAACAGATGGCGGGTTTGATTACATCTGATGTATCACTAAAGCACCCTATAACCCAATCTGTTAAGCAAAATCTATTGTCTTCAATGGCAGCAGCTGCAGTTACAACCAAAGGATCAACACAAGTGACCACTAAGCCTCAGTCAGTTACTCAGTCAGCTACCTCTACGATAACATCCCTTGCTCAAACAACAAGGGAAAATGCAGCAGGCATGAGGTCACCATACTCTACAGGAGATGCCATTTCCTCATCTTTATCCTCTCCGTCTTGTTCTACAGCTTTCTCGCCCCATACTACTGCATCTGTTTCAGCACAAAATACTCTGGCAGCTTATCAACTAAGTACTGATGGCTCATATGACCAAAGGACTTTACAAAGTCCACCTCGGAACCAAATTCCATCTATAACAACTAGCTCTGCAGCAGGATTTTGTAGCTCTACCAGGACTTCTCATCAGAGTACGAGCAGTGGGACAGGCCCTTCTAAGACCAGTACAAATACTCACGAGTCTCAAGTGTTGTCTCATTTTGAGCCTAGCAACTGCAATGCTAGTAAATCATCAATGAAAAGTATATTTTCCATGGCCAATGAAAAGGCCAGCTCAGTAGCATCAGAAAAATGCCAGGGTCCTGTGGTTACAGATTATAATGAACAGCCAAAATCTGCGAATTATGGCACATATTCATCAGATCAAACACAGAAATTGACAGTTGTTTCTCCGAATGGAAAAGATGCTGTGGCAAAAAAGCCTTCATTTGAGATAATTTCTCAACAACATCAACCCCCTATGTGTGATAGTAATAATGTAAGTCCTTTGAGAACTTCAAATTTTCCGGTTTCAACTGAGCACAGAAACTTAAGTATCAATAAGCCTTGTACGACAGGCAGTGTATTAAGTCCAACAGAAAGGCCTTCATTTATTAGTACAGAGAGAGAAGGTGGTTTAATACCTTCTGATTCTAAAACAGCTACCAGAACAGTAGTAGGAAATGACCCTGTAGCATTGAAACCAACTAAATATGAATCAGATGCCAATTACTATGCCACTAACCCACTACTCGGCATGAAACGATCATGTGAAGCCATTGAAGTTTATCCTGACCCTCCTGAAAGTACGGACTGTGATGATGATGAAAAAGATGATTATTGTAGCTCAAATGAAGACTCTATGGAGAGGGATTCAATGCGTGACGATGGTTCTATGGAGACTGTTAGAGATCTCCGACAGCATGGTATGCGTGTTAAAGACATATAGCACAACCTAAAGAACCTGTGGACACATTGAAAATTTTTGTTAAATCTTCTATTTATTCATCTTGAATGAGAAATGAAAATGAGCTTAAAATTGCTTTGTTCCTGTGCTTATTGACTGCAGAATAAATTGTGGTATTTAATATACAGTGGCAGGCTACCTGGAAGTGATTAGACAAGAAAGGAGGGCATTGGACAAGGAAAATAAGAACAGGGAAGCATAATGTAGGGGAGGACAAATACACACAATGTTTTATAAAGTAAAATCATAGTGATGCATGTAAATCTTACAATTTCTTAATTCCTGGTTACTGTGCTAAGCTCCATACTTTGAACACTCCTACAAGCTTTTTATTCTTCTTGACAAATTTTTGACAAGTTTTAATTGTGCTCTCTACCTCTAACCAATTAGATATTGGTGCTTCACCTTGATGTTTGATAGGCAGAGTTTGTACATTGATGTAATGATATCGAAATATTAAAGTAAAGCTCCAAAACATAATTGGTTAGCGGTAAAGAGAACGATTAAAACTTGTCAAAAAGATGTCAAAAAGAAATTGAAAACTTGAAGAAGTTTTCACGGTACGCCGTGTAGGCACAGTAAGTAGAGATGTAGTTTTCAGGAAAGAAGAAAAAGAAAAGAAATAGGATACAACGGAGGCAAAAATCAATTCCAACTGCTGTCATTTTTTGTTGAATTTGAAAAATATTAGTAAATACACACAAAATCTTAACTCTGTATGAGTTCTAAAGCTTGAATATATTTATATATCTTGTAATGTCAGTGTAAAATTATGAATATTCTGCAGTCAAACACCACAGAGGAAGGTTCAATTTTTAAAAAACATTTTCAACTGTGACCACATTTTTTGTAAGAGGTTGTGCTTTTATGTAACAAATGACCTGATTTTGGGTATATTTTTTATCTATTTTTAAATTGGTGTGTGATTTTGATTCAAAATTTTTCAAAATGAGGTAATTTTGTGCACAAATTACTGCTGAAAGGCAAAACTAAAAATGTAAATTACCTATTACTTGTTCCATCATAATCGTAATAAAAAAATTTGGTATTTATTTTATCTATTGGCAAAGATGAGCATTGGAATTTACCTACCTTTTTTACTATAGTTTTTTTTAATAAAATGGAAGGGAAAAAAGACCATTGGCCGTCACGTAGATGGTAAAATTGACAGCTGAGGCCTGTGTGCATTGGCATTATTGCAAGAGAAATATTGTACAATGAATTCTGCTCTGAGACATTTCAACCTGCTGAGCCTTTCTTGGCAATGCCATTGCTCACAAATTTAGCTAAAGACTTCTTGTAATGTTTTCATAAAGTTAAGAAAAAAAATTTGCTGCTCTATGCTATGTCACATTGCAAGATTGGTTCATGCTCAAGCCCATGCGTCTCTAACCTAGTTATGTGTTTCTTACCACCAGTGTTATCTGTTGATGAGAATGCATTTGTGCAAAAATGTATTTAGAAATTGGACAAAATTAATGTATGTCTTCTGGAATTGACAGCATCCAATATTGGTTCTTGTAAACACATATCAAGCTGTAGAAATCCATGGGATATAAAGGGGCACTTAAATGAAAATTTAATTGTCAGCTGAAACTTTACTGGAATAATCTTCAAGAGTATGGTTTCAAGTTTTTTTCTCGGTATTCCAATGGGGAGTATTTGTTATTTTAGTAAATTGTTAATGGAAACTGATGTCATTTACTCAACACTCCATACATTGCTTTGTAGTGCTTAAACCATTGTTTATTAGACCATTGTTTATTAGACCCTTGAAGATTATTCCAGTTAAGTTTTAGCCAAATCAATTTTCACCCAAGTGCCCCTTTAAATTGAAAAAAAACTTTTTGAAAACAAGTGTTAGGCATAATATGAATCCAGGTATACACCTAATTGCAGGGAGATTGTCATATAAAAATGATAAGAAATAGGAATTAATGAGAGTTATTGTTTTTTGATACTAAAGTCCCCTAGATTGATGAGAATAACTGTTGTAGTGACATTGTCAACGAGAATAAATCAAAAGCCAGTCTATACCTTCAAAACAGCCAAAACAATTACTTCTGTTTTGCTTAAAAATAATTAATAACTAGTAGTTTTTTTTATATGACAGGATTCTTGCAATTAGATGTAAATTTATTTGTCTAGCAGTTTTGTATCCTAAAAGAAATCATCCATGAAGGAAAAATAAAAGCCAACTAGGAATTGAATTTTGAGTTCAAGTTTATCATTGTTTTTCGATATTTATTAGAGAATTACAATATTCTTAAGGTATCGCACTCCCTACTACCCTTTGCTGTCAGCTAGTCTAGTGTTTCTGATATTTGTAATGTTATGCAGGTGATGATCAACATGTTGAAGACAAATTTCTCATCACCAATCAAGTACGGAATCCAACCAAAGACATGTACAATGGGGGATGTAATGAAGTTCTTAAGGGTAAGAATAAGTGTGGTTAAGTCTTTGTTTTTGTGTGAGAAATATTTTGAATTAAGCAAGGGTGGTATTGTCAGTGGCAACATCAAATTCCATGTAAGAGCATTGAGATCCCTGTTTTAGTTGGCTTTAAGAAAGCAATAATGATAAAATTATTTTKATGTTCCTGTCTTGAAAAAGGATGGTGCAGCACCATTATAATTCCAGGTTCCATTCCTGGACATGCTACATTCCTTGACAAGGGTAGTGTGGTGCTTTTAAAATTCCAGGTTCCTTTCCTGGACATGCTACATTCCTTGACAAGAGTAGTGTGGTGCTTTTAAAATTCCAGGTTCCATTCCTGGACATGCTACATTCCTTGACAAGGGTATTGTGGTACTTTTAAAATTCCAGGTTCCATTCCTGGACATGCTACATTCCTGGACAAGAGTAGTATGGTGCTCTTATAATTCCAGGTTCCATTTCTGGACAAGGGACATAGTGCCATTATGATACCAGGTTCAATTCCTGGGCATGGTACATTCCTGGACCAGAGTAGTGTTGTACCATTCTAATTCCTTGTTACACTCCACTTAGGGTGGAGTGGTGCAATTATAAATCCAGGCTCCATTTCTGGACATGTTACATTCCTGGACAGCATTTTTACATAGTAATTATAACGTACTGTGCCTAAACTTCATAATAATAAAGAAGATCCCAAATTTGCTGGCATAAGGTTGTAGTCAGTTGTAGTCATGCAAAAAAATATGATCCCCCTAAGCAAGGCTTGTAGCTTCTTTCAACAATTGTGCATCCCCCCCCCCCCTTTTTTAAATTTTCCCATCCCCCCTTTTTCCTACCAATATNCCCCCCCCCCCCCTTTTTCTGATAAAAATTTTCCCATCCCCCTTTTTCCTATCACAATTTTCCTGATCCCACCTAAATTTCAAAAGCAAGGTATGACTGAGCTAAAACTTAATTGGCTGGTCACCATGACTAGCCATTATTTTTAAGCCCCTAGTTGCTATAAATCTACTTACAGCTTACCTACAACCCACTGACACTCTACCCACAAGCTATCAAGAAATGTGTTGATTTACCTATCATCAGCAGCAGAACTAATCAACCACCATCTTACTACCATCATCCAGTGGGGCATGGGGGGTACCAAAACTGCCAAACTGGTTAAAAATTGAGCAGAAAACACTATACCACATCAAAGATCAACCAAAACTGTATTTAGGAACTTTACATTTTTACTCAAATTCACCAAATGCTAGGGAAATGATGGGAACTGAAATACCTTGTAGATAATTGGATTTCATTGAAAAAAATGCCAAATCCTTGTACTGCAGACTTGGATGAAACTGAAAAAACCGGACTCCAAAATATTTCCTGCAAAACAGAATTAAAAAATTGAACAAAACCCTAACTCCAATGTCTCCCTTATCATTATTATGATCATCACTAATAAAACACTAAATAAATATCCACATACATGAATAATTCTGTTCCTTTTTTCTAGAACAAGAAATGAAAAATGAGAATGTTGGAGTGAACATGAAGGCCAACCAGGCATTCCCACCAGCACCTTTTAGAACAGAAATGTTAGGAGAACTACCCATTACCCATGTGAGGCCACACTTTGATATTGGTGATGTGGTTTGGGCACAAGCAAGGGGCCTTCCATCTTGGCCTGGGCAGATTGTTGATGAGAGCAAAGTTGGTAAAGGAAGGGCAGATGAGGGAAAGGTTTGTTTTTACTCATGGACAATTGCCAGGCCTTAAAATAACGGCCAATCAGTCACCAGTCATGATCACTAGCCAAATTAGTTGTAGTTTAGTCATACCTTATTTCTGACTAAACGTTACTGATCAGAATGACGGGCAAGGCAAAGATTTGACCAGATAAGTCCCAGTTGTGGCCAGAAATTGTCCGACGTCTGGCTGTATTAAGCCCTGATTGTTCTGTTCAAAGGTTTTGCATGTAATATTTCAAAAATGAGTGAGAGTGTTTCATTAGGGTTTCCAAACACAAGCAAACATTTGAAAGCACAAGGCCGTAGGCCTAGTGCTTTTATTGTTTTTGAGTGTTTGGAAACCCTAATGAAACACGAAGCACGAGTTTTTGGAATTACTTCTCTAATGAGTTAATAATTCATAATGCAGGAAAAGAAATCCTTGTTTTATTTATTTTTATTTAATAAACATAGAACAGTTGTATGGGAAAAAAATTAATAAATTATAGATCCAACCGAACTTTGTCAGCAAATTCGCTAATTGAAAATTGTCATTTCCGTCCTTGACATCTCCTTGAATATTTTCATGGGAATCTTGCATGAACACTCTTTGTAAATAGAGCATTCCTTTCAGGTCTTTGTAGATCAGTTGAAAATCCCATGTTTTTGTCTATTTTAGAAATGGGTGATGTGGTTTGGAGACCACACCTTCAGTCAAGTTGAGGTAGATCGCCTCAAAACTCTCAGTGAAGGACTCAGAACGTTAGATGATAAAGCAAGAAAGAAAAAATACAGGTAAATTCAAAATAACAAAAGGTTTTATTTGGTTGGCTTACTAAAWCTATCAAAACCAAACCCTTCTACTCATTCTTTCAATGCATTATAAATTTCTAATTTCTTGGAAGAAGTTCTTAGTGCAGACCTGATTGTACCTCATACACCAAACAAGAAAAAAGATTACTTCTCACCTACGAATTCTTTAATTACCTCTCCTCAAAGTTATATATTTCTATTTTTTATGTTAACAGAGCTAAAAAAGCCAGGATAAGTWTGGAACAAGCTATTAATGAAGCTCTTGAAGAATTAGAAGTGGTAAGTTTGATGTTGGAATGAATTTTGTAAAATGCATAATGATTATGCATCAATCTTAGTTATAATGTAAAGGAGAATTTTTATATAAATCTATATTTTTTACAAATTTTTATATAAATCTATATTTTTTACAAATTTTTACATAAATCTATATTTAGTATCAATAAGGACATATAGTAATAAATAGAGTATGCCAATAAATGCTTCTAGTTTTACATTGTGTAAAGAAATGGCACACACACACAAAAAAAACATGGATCAATAATAATAAAAATGTTAACCATTTTTTCCTCTCAAATTGTTATTCAGAGAGAAAGATTAAAAGCAAAGCAAGGTAATAGCAGTGAATGTAAAGTTTTTACACTGTCTTAAAATTAGCCAGAAATTATACTCCAAAATCCTTTCTGATCTTCAGTTTGATTTGTTCTTCTTTATGTTTTTAACATTCATGTGAGGGAGCGGAGCTCATGTAAAAGTAGCATATCAGGCAAGACTGAGAGAATGTTTGCTCTAGTTAATCAGTATGCTTGTAAATAGTCAACTAGTTTGCCTCCTTGACAGTTGGGATTCTTAACACACTTTAGGTTTCTTTGATTATTTCTTTATTACAGTTTATTAATTTGTGGACTAGAGTGCAAACAATATAACCGTGAAACTTTAGTAATACTAAATAGCACAATTTCATGCAAATTTCATTGTTTTCTATTGTTTAATTAGCACTATTTTGTACTATTTATTAATTAGTGTTTCACGGATTAATTGTTTGCACTCTACATGTAAACTAGCAGTTTTTTTTAGTATGAGCCCTCTCCACTTAGTGATATACATGATTCTGAGAGCTGAGAAACTCCAAAAGCAATTCAGGTTTCGACAAATACAGGGCAATATGCAAGGAATTTTTTTTATTTAAAGCTCTGTATTCTGCTTGTTTAATAGGTATGCGAGCAAAGACCAAGAAAAAACGTCTTAGATGATAATCTTCCTTTAACAATGCTCAACTCTGGACCTGACATTACAAAAATGGGGTGATTATTGATTGAGCTTGTACCTTAAAGATGATGCCGTCTTCACTGATGGATGTGGTATCTCTATATGTGTAAATAGTTCTGATATTATGTCATTCTATGGCTTTGTAATTATTAATTCTTTTCATTGAAACATATTACCCAATTACTACATACTGTAGGAAGAATAAATAAGTTATATAAACTATTTGTATAGTTTTTTTTGTATAGATACAAGACCTAATTATATTTATAAAGGAAACAGGCAGCTGATCGCATGAGTAGGAAACGAAGGCAGATCCAAGGGAAAGATCTAGGAGGTCAGGATTACCTCTTCATTCCATTTCCTTATTGCTGTTTTTACAATATTGTGAGTTTATATTACTTGTATATTTAGTTCAATATCTGCACCCCTGGATCTACCCTTGAAATTACAATGGCTACCAAAGTTTGATCATTAATTTAAGGAATAATTGCCTGTTAATATTCAGTAACAGAATTTGCTGATAGTTCAGAGTCCAATCGGCCACGTTTTCAGATGTTAAAATTCTAAAACAATACATAGGTTCTGTGGAATGAAATTTTCAAAATTGCATCAAATCCAAAAAGATCAGAAGATATGATGCTGTAGATCTGATAAAAATGTGTACAGTAGTGAACTGACTAAACATTTCTTCCAAAATTTTCTTATTGCTGAAAGATAGGAACATGGTATAAGATACATTATTTTATTCCCACCACTAAATGTGTTTGGTGATCCATATGTTTGGACCGTACATGAAATACTGCATCTAAAGCCTTGCAATCAATTATGAATTTTAAGATCTGAAATGTGGCCTATTGAACAAAGCCCACTTAATTCAGGTTTTGTTTGCCTATACACTGCTTTGCACATGAACACCTTGCTATTGTAGAAACTTACTTAATTTGTGTAACTTATCATATACACCTGTTTTAGTAAACATTGTCATCGCCAAAGGGGAAAGGCGATAGGCAAAAAGTGATAGGAGAGGTCATTCCAAGATCCAAGAATCCAAAAATAATAACTAGCGTTTAATTCTGTTTCTTATTATTATCAAGAGCATGGATCTTGGTGTTGAAACTGATTTAATGTTCTATGTATTTCACAAAACCATTTTCATGTCGGAATGACCTATTGCCTATTGCCTTTGGCGATGACAACGTTTATTGAAATAGGGTGTATGCCTTGCTCTTAATTGAACCCACCAAATACAGACAATTTCTCAGGTCTTTTTGGTTTTCACATAACAAAGTCTGTATTAATTGTCTAAATCTGGCTTTGTACAACTCGGCCCTAAGTGAATATTTCAGCTAAAAGATACTGCTCAGGAATATAGTTATTTTTTAGAATATTGGTGTTTCCTTGAACCAGGAAATATAATGCCACTTACACAAGTTCTGTACAACACCATGCTGTGTTGTGATTGGCTGATTTGTTGTTTAGTGCATTTTGATTGGTTCAGACTATGCATGGTTTGCCAAGTTTCCCACTGATATAAATCAATAGAGTGCAAATAATTAATCCGTAAAACACTAATTACTAAATAGTACAAAATAGTGCTAATTAAACAATAGAAAACAATGGAATTTGCATGAAATTGTGCTATTTAGTATTACTAAAGTTTCACGGTTATATTGTTTGCACTCTAACCACTGTGTGAATATGTAGTAGTGACAGTAGAATTTAGTATGAACAAACAAGTGGATTATTTTTAATCTATTCTGAATGGTCATGCCGCAGTTTCATCTAATAGTAATAAGCCTTTTCATAGTTTAAGAATCGATTCCACTGCGCATGCGATTTTATCCCGAATTTCTCACCCCTTGTTTAATTAAGAACAAAAGAAGGTTTAGACAAAAGAAAGTGAGAAATTCGGGATAAATTCGCATGCGCAGTGGAGTCGATTCTTAAACTATGAAAAGGCTTATAGGCAACTTGTAAAGTGATTTTATTTGGCCTGTGAAACAAAATTGAGTAATAGCCAAAGTAAAACAATAATAAAAACGATGGAAATAGTGTTAATACTGTATGTTTTATGCTTACTATTTTTAATAGGCCAAATAAAATTACTCTAGGGGAAAAAGACATCTTTTTTACCAAGTTTGGCTGAACTTTCTGAGGTTTTGCTCCTGTTATTTTCAATCCCTGTCCAACTAGTTTGTTTATACTAAAGCCATTAGACCTCTCACCCTTGTGGGCTATGAATGAAGCAAATAGCCCATCTTTGTGCACCTTGTGGGCCATCCAATGTTGTAGGTCTAATAGTTTAACAGATAGGGATGTCCCTTAAAATGCTGACAGAATACTTTACCATGTAGGATTGTAAAATCTGGCTAATTTTTAAATGCTGTTAGCTTGCCAAATTTTTAATTAAAATATTTTTGTAGCTTCATAATAGCCAGCTATTGACAAGACAACATGTGTTTTTGAAACCCTTGGCCATTGAATCAAAGTAGATTTATGTGTTTATTCCGAGTTGTTAAACCAATATATATACATTTTTCCAGAGGTGTCAGTTTTGAGTGTCTGGGAGTGACTGTAAGCAAATAACCATGTCTTCTTCACTGGGGGAGGAGTGTGGTGAGTGTCCTATTCAGCGAAGACCAAAATTCTTTTCACTGGGGGAAGCAGGGGGATGAGAGTCATGTCCAACAAAGCAGGGGGGAAGGTTGAGTGTCCTGTCAGACAAAGACCAACTTCTTCTCCAGTGGGGGAAGCAGGGGGAGAGTGCCCTATTCAGAGCAAGACCAAAATTCTCCCCACTGGGGGAAGCAGGGGAAGGGGAAGGAGGGGAAGGGGAAGTGGGGGGGTTAGTGTCCTATCCAGAGCAAAGGGGGTGAGTGAGAGGGGGGAAGTGAGTGTCCTGTGCAAATCCTTTTCACTGGTCAAAGCAGGAAGAGAGTGTTCTCAAAGGGCATGAACTATAATGCACCTGACCTCAGGCTTCCATTTAACCAGCCTCAGCTGAACTGGACTGCCTGTATATAAGAATTTTTTTGTGATTGATATCAAATTTATACAAAATTTTGATCCCTAATCCATAAATAATCCCTTGATTTATTCATACGTTCCCGATCCCTCTTCTGTGATCCCTTATTCGTAGTATGTGATCCCTTTTCACTCGTCATGATCCTGTCCATGGCCCACCACTGCATGAGCACCTGACCATTCTTTTTAATTAAACAAGGTCTCGGAGAATGGACCGAAGGCAAACTAATATTGAATCCTGGCTGTAACGTTTTAGGTTACGGTATGGGTTTTCCCCGATATTCACAAAAACGGCTCTTGGTGGCTTTTTAAAACTGGTACTGACCTACTGAGCCCCGTTCACACTGGCGATTTTTGTGGCAATTTTCGGAAATATGAAATCTTTTGTCTCATCCGTCTTCAAAAGAGACATTCGTCTAGGAAAATCATGGTCTGAAAAAAAACTTTAGAAGTAAATTCTTTACTATTATTTATTATGGACAGAATCGCAAAAAAAAATCGCAACAAACTTCGCCGCAAACATTGCTAGTGTAAACGGAAGGCGAACAAACGAAGACGTATAAAACAAGATACTGACTATCGGTTTATATAAACGCAGAACAGTACTTCGAAAAAGTTGCAAAATGACGGACCTTTTTTGCGCCAAAGAAGTTGAATTTCCCTCCAAAATCCTCAATATATCCCAGTATTTCGTAAACCGAGTGTTCATTTTGTGATTATTGACAAAAAACAAAATTTGAATTTTGCTACAAATTAGGGGTAGCATTTGGGGGTGTTGGGCCGAGTTTCAAAAAATAGAATCAAATATGTCCCAAATATGATGAATGATGTTTTAAAAAAAGTATTTTATGCTTATTTGTTTTTCCATGCGCATACAATATCCGGTGGCGGGTATTTTAGAGCCACAAAATGGTTGATCGCACGCGAGTATATACACAGAGGGTGGCAGACTTTGCGAATCTTACTTAATCTTAATCTTACTTCTCATTCCTGCTATTCAATTTTCGAAATTGACTATTAACAAACATTACGAGTACGAATGATACGTTTATGGCTGTCCTTCTTCATCCATGACCTAGTCTCCCTCGCATCCTCACGCGTGACGACCGACACTAAAAACGGATGCGAGGGAGACTATCCATGACCTGGTTCCCGCTAAAAACCGATATATATATATGGAACTTAAGGTGAATTTGATTAACCATATTAACTCTGGACGGTTGAATATTACTGACTTAAGGAGTATCGCGCGGTCGCGTTATTGTTGGTATAGTACAAACAGAGTCAAGTACGGAATGGCCGTTAAAAAAGTAACGCTCATAGACTATTCAAACCGTTTGACCTTTGGAATGAAAACGTGTAGAAGGAAGGAACGAAGGAACACGGACACAAGATAAGTCAAACAAGTATAACGTTAATTTAATTCAAATAATCGAAAGGAAAAAAACCTATAGAAATCCAACCACATTCGGTGTCCTAGTGCCCTTGCACTGACACTGGTCATGTGGGTCATGAACAAACACGTGCACAGAAAACCTTCGAACTGATCGGGCATTCAACGAGTTCTTCGTACATAAAATCCTTGCTTTCGGAGCTTAATCATGTCTTCCACCTTGGATATTTTGGGTGCTGGATTCTCATCAATTCTAGGAGTGGATCTAGACAATTACAATATCAAGGATCTCGGTAAGCCAAGAGAGATATCAATTTACGATCTCTTCAAGCAAACCTATGTTATGAGGCCGATGAGGGTCGACTACAACTACGACTGCGAAGATCAGTTGGTTGTTTCGACACTTACAAGGAAAGAGCTCATGATTCCTTTCGTATCATCCTCGTGTACCATAGAACAAGTTAAAACAATGATCAGTGAAAAGGAAGGTATTCCTATAGATCAGCAGAGACTGATTTACAGCGGCGAACAACTTATGGATGGCAACACACTCAAATACTATGGCATTCGCCCAGGAGCGACGCTCCATCTGGTTCTACGGCTACGTGGTGGTGGATTCACCTCATACAAGCTATGTGCAGATGAACTAGACCCCGAATTTGACTTCGACTTCTCAAATATGAATGATGATGGCAAGACGTATGCGAGAGGAGGATTTGAATACAAGCGCGGGCCTTATGGTTGGAAAAGAATCGCCATCAAAGTGATTGGAAGGTATGAATCCGACGACTGGCTTGGTCCAAATGGAATCCGTACTTGTGAAGCGCCGAATGAGTGGCCTGTATCATACCATGGGACGAATTTCGCGAATTCGAATTCGATTTTAGAAAATGGGTTCAAAGCTGGCGACAGAGCTCTCTATGGAAAGGGGATTTACTCCAGCCCAAGTCTAGAAATGGTGGAGAGATGTTATGCTCAAGAGTTCACTCAGCAAGGGAAGAAGTACAAGATTGTGTTCCAGAATCGTGTTAATCCTGATCAGCTGCATGGCAATTTGAAGGTGATTCCAGCGTCAGTAACAGGAGTGGGTGCAGATTACTGGGTGGCGCCAAAGCACGACACCAGGAGGGGTGTGATTGATGTGCGTCCCTATAGAATCCTTATCAAGGAGGTGATCTCGGAAAGCGCGCAATGCATGATTTTCTGATTGAAACATTGCCGTGAAGGACGCCATTTCGTTTTGAGTTGGATTTGAAGAGTACAAAGAAGTCATAGCTGCACATTTGAAGTTTGTAGTAATGTTTCAAGTTATGTGCAAGAAACATTTTACTAGAATGAAAGCTTATTTTAAGTAAGTGTTTATCCGTTTTTTGTAATTCGTATAGCCGCCAACAAAGTTAACCTTACGAAGTTTTTTCTTTCGAAAATGATTGGAGACTTGATAGAGTGCACGCACTAAAACCGTGAGTAGTTATGACCCCCCATCCAGCACCTTTTGTTAGGGAGGGGAGGGGTGGTCAACTGAAATACGACAAATTCTTGAATACCCCCTTAAGAATGTAGGGGGAGGGGTGGTCTAAATTCTTGAATACCCCCTTAAGAATGTAGGGGGAGGGGTGGTCTAAATTCTTGAATACCCTTGGAGAATGTGAGGGGAGGGGTGGTCTAAATTCTTGAATACCCTTGGAGAATGTGAGGGGAGG